ACGGGGGTCTACCATCACACATGGTGGTCAATCCTGAACCTCACCTTCGACCTACTCCAATCCCATCAGAGGATACGTCATCACCAATGAACCCTATCAGATCCAGACCCAACAACAGGGCTCCTTCAGCCCCCAGGACCGTGGTTACGAGTTCAACCGTGGACCGCAATCCTGCCACTATCAACCCTGCGCCACATCCTGAATCCAGACCAAAGAAAAAGCAACGTATCCACGTCGCTCTGACAGATACTCATACAGAAACCATCACGGCTCCCAGCCTCCGTGCTGGCTGCCATACCAAAGCATTTACTTTCTCGTCAGACGAATCGGACTCTGAGACTCACAAACGTCCGGTCTCCTCCAATCCTGCACCTGGGACGTCTTCTACTCCAGCTCCAACTGACGGTCCATCTGTTGAACATCCTGCGGTACCAGAACCAAATCCGAAGTCTCTTCCTCTGTATTCACCTGTAGCTGGTCCACTTCCACCCGACGGACCTTGGCAACCAGGGGATGACAATGAGCTTGTCAGTTACAAGACGGATACAAAGAGCAGACCGTCATGGAAAACGATCTCCATGAGACTCCGTCCCTCCATTGAAGCGTGCAAAGCACGGTGGCTCTGGTTGAAGAATACACAATTGGATGACAATTCACGCCCCGAACCCGAAGGGGAGGATTGAGCAATTCCGTGGCAGCAAAAGTTTCGACCATTTTCGTGCTGCTAATGTCTTAACTTCTCTCTCTTGATCTCTTTTGATCTTTCATTCTGACTTCGACTTTTCATTTAATTTGTCTTCTGTATCATTGGTTGTCGTGTTGCATTTCCTCTGTCAACCTCCTGTAGCTTGGCTCAACCTTCAGGTTTAGCCATGTCTCGCTCTCGCTCTCGTGATTCCTTCATCAATGGTGTATGGGGACATCCCGAACCAGATCGGCCCCATGATGCGGATAGAACTCTTAGCTGGCATCATACTCCGGCCCTTCGGAATCACCGACGGGTATTGGTCCTTGTTGAACTAGATGAAGTACGCCACGTCCTGGAGGATGATTTACACTCGGATGCCATGTTCGCCACCCGGTCGAACACCTTACCAAATCTCGATGTCACGGAAGAAAGAGGTTTGTTCACCTTTGCTCGGCTTTTCAATCCCAGCCAACTTCCGGTCACGACGTCGAGTGACCTCATTTCTGGCATCAGTCAGTACATCTTTGACACTTGGGGTGTTCATTTGGCCTCATCCACCATTGGCCTTCGTTGGACTGATCCAACTGATGACATGTTTCAACTTCGTGATGAAGACACCATTGCGGGGCTTCTCCGCCATCACCGCCCGAACTGGGCTCGGGCACAGGACACGGGCATTCTCACACCATCTTTGCCGTTCACCTTTCCGACTCAGCCGTACGTCATGAGAATGTCCTGCCATCGAAAGCTTCCTCCGCATCACCTTCCGTGACCACGAGTCTAAAAAAGCTGACCGCTTCGGTAACGCCACATTTGCATGTCAACATTTTGTGATTGGTTTTCTCAATTTTCATTTGACTGACTGTTGAACATGTTTGCCTTCCGTTCTGTTAGCCATTATAATGCCAAAACGCGACGCGGCCTTCGCCTCTCTGCCCTCTCCTCGCCTTCTCCGCATGGATGAGTGGTCAGCTCCGATGACGGCCTCGGGCCAACGACCAAATCGGGACATTCCCTCGTCTTCAAGCGGACCATCTGGTCCACTGCTCATGCCATTGGCCCATGACATCCCTACTGGTCATGGATATGGGAGTGCAATTCCTCCACTCGATCCTCCCTTACCTGCCTCCAATTCTTCAAACTCCTGGCACCTTCCAGCGTCATTGGCAGATCCCCTTCAAAAGAAGACGCGTATCGTCCACTCCTTTGCCTTCAAAGTAATCACCGATGGACCACCCGATGCGGCGTCGAGGGATCTCACTGTCACAGAAGCTGACGCAGACGGTGACGAGAAACCAAAAAACCTGGAACATTTCTTCTACGGCATTGTGGGTCATGTGAAAGACGTTTGGGGGAAACGAACCAATGGTTGGAAAGAATCATCTCGTTTAGCCAACTACTGGCGCAAGTACTTTCACATTCCTGAAGTACCATACTCTTCCTGGTTTGAACCCTCGGATGCCAATCAGCAGCAAGCTGAAGAACCGGACCCACTGCTCACCCAAGATGAGGATATCCACGAACCGATGGAAGACCCTACCTCGACAAGTGCGAACCCTCCTTCGCTTCCAGTCCAGATTCAACAGTTGGCATATCTCATATATGACGCGATGATCCAGCAACCAGAAACTAATGCTGACATTCTCAGCTTTCTCCGGTCTCAGGAGGTCGACCCGGCCACCGGCCACATTCAAGTGGCAAATGCAAAGACCTTGTCACACTTGAGCGCCCACCTTGCAATTCAAGCCAACATTTTGGCCCAAGTTGCCTCACCGGATGCTCCACTGGAAGACGATGATCACGGTCTGTAGTTAGACACGGACCTCCAGCAGATAGACCCGTCTGATTCTCTGGCATTTTGATCAAATGATCCGTGACCAGAGCAGGTTGTGATACCTGTCATTTCTTCGGACTATCGTGCTTCTTCCAAAAGCCTCGCTGCTGCGGGGCGTGTGCGTGAACCATCAGAAAAGATGTAAAACTTCTACCTGGTTTGTTGACTCCAACCTTGTTCTTTGCTTCGCTTTCACGTTGATTCATGTCATTTCATTTTAGTATTGCAGGGGGATTCATGTCATTTCATTTAGTATTGCAGGGGGCGACAGGGTCGCTGCATGGCTGTCGCCAACGAAGCTCCATGCAGTTGACTAGGATATGGCGTCTGATCAGCTCCACGTACCTGCTTCCATTTTCCAGTTATTCGTCATGATGGGATGTGGCTAGCCCGAGAACCACCGTGCCGTTTCAAAACTTGTTTTCATTTTCTGGTTTGCACTGTTGTCGCTTTTTGTCAAGATGGGAACGATTTGGCTTTGTTGAAAGGGAAGGGTCAGCTTCCACCTTATTGCATCTAGATCTGGCCACGACAATGGTAACTTCTCGATACTTCTCAGGTCCTTTCACCAACACATTCCTGTCAGGTGTTACTGAATTGTTTTTGCACGTACGATGCATTCCACAACACGATTCGCAATGACAGTTCTTTGCATGTGTGTGTGTGTGTGTTTTTGTTTTTTCCCACGCTCCTTTTCTGTTGGAAAGTCTGCGCACACTGCAACACAATTGTGTTGGCTCTCCAGAGAGAGTCTTTCCTGAGATGCCAAGCATGCAAATGCACAAAAGCTTGGACGGCACCGCAGCTTCTAATTGGAATGGCACATGCAGGGGCGGTGAGACGCGGCAGGATGTGAGACATAATGATGAAGCAACAGCGTTTTTTTTTGCACTTCTTTTAGTGGTGTTTTTTTTTCTTGTTTTTTTTTTTTGGCTTCTTTTAGTGGCCAGAGAACTGGGGTGCACACTGGGTTTCAGTGGGCATGCAAAGGGATAGGGGGACAAACCTGCGGGGAGCAGGGTGCAATGAGACAGGATGTCTCAACTGCTCAAGTGGAGCAGTATTTAACAGGGACGTCATGGTGCCAAAATGGCATGTCAGGTCAATGCATACAGTGTGGATGGCGCCGGCTAGGCAAGCTGGTACTTCATGCGAAAAGAGGCACACAGCGGCAAAAGTCGTCTGGGCAGCTGCTGGAACCTGTGTTGATGGCAGTGCATACATTGTGGAGGCACTGGCAGGTGTCAGGCAAAATGCCGGACTGCAGCAATACGATTGTGTGAAACTTCGCATTCTCTGTTCTTTTTTTTTGCACTTCTTTTGGTGGTGCATTTTTTTTTTGCACTTCTTTTGGTGGTGCTAGAGCTCAGGGGTACACTTCGGGTTTCGAAGGGCTTGCATGAGGGCATCAGTCTGGGGACTGATGGCATGGGTGAGGCGCATCTGATGAAATGGCTGCAGCAAGAAAAGGTCAGGTGTCAAGTCCTGCATCTGTGCCATCAACAAACATACTGAGCAAGTCCTGAGCTCCTAGTCTTGGGGTCGGATCAGGTGGCCTGGGTGTCTTGGCTGTGGGGACACCAAGGTCATGCAGACTCATGTGATCAAAATCGCAAAGCCAGAAACAAGTGGCATTGCGCGTGAACCATGTTGGCTCCTTCCATACCGGCATTGCTGGAACCCAATCATCCGTCAAAAGGAACATGTGCGGGTTTGCAGTGGTGGCTTGCATCTGGACCCTTAGTAGTGCACGACAATGGCCTGAGGCATCAGCACCTAAGTGCGCAACGGCAGCTACCACTTTGTAGGTTTTCCAGTTCACAGTGAGATCTGTGCCAGTGTAAACAGGAACTTCGATCCCCCAGTGGAAGTTAACTGGGATGTCGCACTTCGTGATGTGTCCAGCACCTGAACGTATGTGCCGATCAATCTGAACATAAATCAGTGGAGAGTCATGAGTGAGAGCTCGCATCATGCCATCTTGATTGGACCAATCACGAATCAGCTGTCGCAGGGAAGTGGCGTCATCATTCAGGAGCATGGGATCAAATTGAAGGACCAATGGTGTGTAGGTGGTACTGGAGTCCACTGTGTCAGTGATAAGTCCAACCTGGATCCTTTTTTCCCAGCGCATGTCGATGCCAGCAATGCCAAGTCCCTGCATCAAGTGTGCCAGAAATTCAACTGGATCCCCTTGTTGGCCTGCCCCTTGCCACATATCTATGATATTCTGAAGGCATGTGATACTGGAGAGATCAACAGGTTCAGAATTATGTGTCATGATGATATGCGCCAACTGGGTTCCTGATGGGCCCCATTGTGAGAGTGAAAACTGATCTGTACTCAGCAGTGACCATAGCAGCGTCATGAAGGAGGCGTTCATGTAGCACCAGTTGGCATCATTGACCAGCTGAAGCTTGGCCAGTCCATCCAGCAACTGCCGTCGCGAAGGCGCCTGTGTGGCAGGCATGGGGGCAGTCAGTGGCCCTGCTTGGTCTTGGTCTTGCCTTTGGATTTCGATTTGCCCGAGCCCTTGCCCATGAGGTCCCGAAGGGCCAGAGCTGGCTTGCTCTGGGTTTGGGCATGGCTCTTCATCGACATGCCTAGAAGGCTCCACATCGTCGATCCTTGCAACGTTGTCAACAGAACTTGTAAGTCGTCCGCTCTCATGGATATTTGCCACATCCATGGGATGATGGGATCCTGGCTGGAGTCTTTGGACGTCGGTTTCATCGAGTGGAATCGGATGGTCACTGAAGGGTCCTTGAGGATCTCCACCAGTTGCTCGGCATATTTGATCATCCTCTTGAGGGGGATTGGTGATTGTCCTGTCTGTCGGAGCTCCTGGGCATGAGGGTTCCACTTGCGGAAAGGAAAGGCGTTGTCCTGCGTCAGCACTCCATGTTGTCTGGCTAGCATCTTCAGCTGGTCTGTCTCGGCGCATTGAGCCAGTTTGGTCAGCCTGTTCAACATCGTGTCCGCCAGATGTTGGGCGAGGAAGCAGCGGAGAGGGAGGTACTGCTCCATCTTGGATTGGTCCAGCTCCTTCTGCTGGGATTTCCACTCCGTCGCTTTCAGAACCAGCGATGGCAAGAGTGCTTGGGAGCCCGTTTGCATGAAGCAGATCCATGAGTCTTGTTTTTTCATCGCTTGTTGGTCGGCATCCACTCGCAGAAGTAGATGGCCCATTGCCGTCAACAGAGTCATCACCTCCGTGGTGTCTTCCTTTCTTGCGGTGTCCCGTTTGGCCTTTTTGCTCTCGGTGCCTTCGTCTGTTCTGTCGAACCTCTGGAGCTTCAGCAGAGGGCTGAGGTGCTTGAAGACGTCCAACATCTCGGAGTCCTCCTGACTGAGTTCCGGAGCTGCATCCATAATCTTTGCGAAGCAAATGAACAAGCTGCAGTACCACAGGACACTGGTGTTGATAATGGATCTGAGCCAGAAGCTTGCGTGAGGCCATATCTGTTTCATCGGCTGTGATCGGATGATTGAAGATCTGTAGGCACACATCACATTTGTGATCTGCAGTGGCTTCACTCTGGATGGCGTGCATGAGCTGTGGAAGAATTTTGTCATGCATGATGGCAGCTGAGGAGTGCACACTGAAGATGTGATCGCGCAGTTCTGCTGGGTGCATGCTCATGCCACATTGCAGGCAAGTGGTGCGGAAGAACTCCAGGCATAAGGGATCAGTCCACAGCTGGGTGAATTGTCGTTGCATCAAACAAGCAGTGAGCCTAGGCAGCAACGGGTGGTCCACAAGTGCAATCAAAAATTGATGAACTTGATCTTCATCAAACTTCCAAGGCAAGAGCACTGGGACGGTCGTCTTCAAGGCCATCATGCCTAGTTGCCTGAGGGGAACGCATACATGTTGTAGGCCGCTGGCATTTGTCTGGGGATTGCACAGGCAGCTGGCAATGAGCAACTGAACTATGTTCCTAGCATCATGCCATTCCTGATGATGAACAGTCTGCAAATGCAAGGACAGATCTCCAGTGCGCTGAAATTTGAGTTGGCAGAGCTGGCAAGTCAAGGTTAAAGCAAGGCGTTTCATAGGCGCCTGCCGCAAAGACTGGATGTCTCCTTGAAGAAGCAGCTCCTGCCATTCATCAGGAATCGGAGCAGTGGCTGGCTGTCGCAATGGGTTGAAGCTTGGGCATTGTCCCAGCGTGATGTGATGCCGAACTGCAGATTTATCTGCAAATAGCGTCATGCAGTGAGAGCAAACTGGGTTGGTTCCCAGTAGCATGTCCCTCAATGGGTCCCAGTCCTGTGTGTCAAGACGATGCTCTTGATGCAAGTGAGCATGCAACGATTTGAGATCAAGGTGTTGCAGACCGCAAACATCACAACGCAGTACATGATGACCAGGCTGATCATAGGAGGTACCTGTAGCATCTGTGTTGACCAGGATCAGGGCTGCTTGGGTCATGATGGGGCACTGATGTGTCCGTCTGAATTCTCTGTTGCAAAATCTGCATGGAGAGTTTGATGCCTGAGCTCTACAAAGTTGACTGGCCTTCGAGAGAACGTGAGGCAACATCGTTCCATGTTGGGTTCGAAGATGCTGGTTCATTTCCTATGGTCTGCCACTGTAAACACCACATAGTATGCAATGATGTGTCAAGTCTTTCAATGCTCTTGACATGGACTGCAGTTCATCCCAGCGGCGCTCTGTGATGCATTCAAGCAATGATTGGCCGTAGGGCTTTGAGTGCAGCAAGGTCAAATTATGAGCGTTTAACTTGGGCAAACGTTCATCCACCTGCATCTTGGTGACCTGCTTGGAGCACAGAAAATCACTGCCACCGTTGGTCAGAGCCTGGCAGCAGTTGCGTTCTAAATGAATGCAGAAATTTCTCCAGCTGGGAAAGGTTTCTTGGCAGTGTGCACATTGCGGCAGTCCCCTAGTTGCAAACGCTGCTACATCAACCAAGGTTGTCCGAAAAACCATCCTGCCATGAACATGTGTTTGATGTCTACGCAAATTGGGGAGGGAATCAAAAACACATTGGCAGTGTGGACAAACATGCATCTGCGGTCGCACCTCGGTTGCTGGAGTGTGCAGGTGAACCTGATATTGTTCAGTGTATGCAGAATGCAGCAGCTGCAAAAGGGCAGACAGGTGAGTCCAGTCTGCTGTCCACAAGATGTCGTCTGCTTGCAAATGATTGAGTCGTTGGCCGATCGTGGTGTTCAGCTGTGTCCCGGCATGCAGAAGCAAAAGGAGTGGATGTTCAAGTTGGTATTGTTGGAGGATATGCACATGAGAATGCCTTGTCAGAAAGCTATGGTCTCCTAACATCAACCTGTACATTTTGAATATACACTGTTGCAGGTGAAGTGCATCCCTGAGTGTAAATCCTACCGGAAAGATGCCGTATGTGAGTGTTGACAGAACACAGGCCCGCCACATCTGCAGTCTATACTTCAGGCTAATACGTTTGCAACAGAGCCATCTGCGTAGTCTTGAAAAAGTGATGTTGGCAGCACGGATACGATGTTGAACCGTGTGTTTCTCAAAAAGCTTGTACCCAATGTGGATCCCAAGATACTTAGCATGGCTGCACAAAGGCAATCTGGAAACTCTTCCTTGGGCCCGAGGAATGAGAAGGTGGGGTCCCTGTGAATCAACATGGATGATTCTGCGTGTGATTTCCCTGCAATTTGTTCCGCCAATGGAAATCATGGCATGAGACTTGTCCAAGGCAAGAGTGAGTCCCATTTCTTCGATAACATCCAACAGAACACCGATGCGCTTCAGTGCAAGTTGCAGTTCGGTTTCATTCAGAAAACAGTCACAGGAATGTAAATCGTCAGCGAACATCGTCAGCTGCTTTTTGACCCACTCTGGACCAAGCTTCCTGGAAAGTCGGATGAAAAGGTCAAGAGTATAGCTTGACCATAGGACAGGTGCAGCTCTGCACCCCTGTCGCACTCCTTTGCCCGTTCCCACTGCAGCCGTTGTGGTCCCCTGAGAGACAATGTAACTGGTGTTAGAATGCCACATTGCCAGAATGGCCACCAGGTCTTGATTGATGTCAAGGGAGCTCAAAAAATCGAATAATGGCTGGCGTGGAACCATGTCAAAGGCCTTTGGGGCATCAAGACAAACTTGGATGCCCCCGCAAATGGGCCTGCATTGATGGTTGGCCGCGCGTTGGTGAACGCTTCTGCGTTGGTTCTTCGTCAGGCGTCGAACCTGCTCACAATGCAGAATGACTCGTCTGATGGCATCAAAAGTTGATCGCTGCGGAAGGAATGCCAGTTGTGGCCAACTACAAAGAAGGGGTTTAACCTCTGCCGCAAACATGGTAGTGATGAGCCCCAAAATGCTTTTCCTCACAGGTTCCAACAAGGCTAAGGGTCTCAAGTTGCCCAGGCGGTCGGGCTGCTTGCCAGGTTTATGAATGAATGTGAGGTGTGCAGTTTTCCATTGCGATGGGATGAATATTGGAAGGGATCCCCACCACTCCTCAAGTTTGGGGTAAATGTAGTTGGCAACTGCATGGGCTGCAGTTTTCCAGCAAATTCCTGGAAGGCACGTACGAGCAACTGCTTTGGTGACCGGTGTCTGGGCTAGTTCCCAAATTAATGCATCTTTGGTGAACGGTACCCCTGGGGGTCTGGAAAGGGAAACATCAATGGTTGTGGCAGGCAGCCACAAGTCTTTGATGTAGGCACTGGTCATGTCTAGCACCTCCATGGGGGAGGCCGGGGCTCCATTTGGCAGCCGGATTCTGATGCGCTTGCGCGGCTGCTTTGGGGTATATTTTAAAACAGCTTGATATACAGCAAAGCTATCATTTCGAGTCGCCGCATGAGAAACTTCATCCATAAGATCACGCATCTTCTGTTTGCGGATCTGTTTGCTGTGGATCTGCAATTGGCGTTTCATCTTGCGGTACTGGCCAAAGTGCCACCAGGCATGGAAAATGGCTGCGATGGAAGTCTCACCTGTTTGCCTCATCATGGCTCGGTGATTCCATTTGGCACTGATGAGCTGTTGCTGTTGGGATTGGGGTTCAGTTGCATTGAATGAGGATTTTGGTCGAAAAAATTGGTGAAACGTTGGCATCAGATGTTGGTGCATCTCATCAATGAGAGCTTCCCTGTCTGTCTGCAGCAAAGTGAATTCAGTGAAACGCTGGTGAAATGCTTCGTGAAACTCCTGCCAAGTGTGGGTGTTGGAAACCCAAGCCTGTCGACTCCTGAGTCGTTGCTGAAAGGTGCAAGTGCCCTGCTGTGCATTCTTCGTGTAAACATGTGGGACCTTACGAATAGAGCACATCATTGGGGTATGGTGAGCGCCTGTAAGTGGCAAAAAACCCGCCTGTGGAAAATGTTTCACATCAAGTGCATGGTTATCCACATCAGCATGTCTCATCAAGAAGTGGTCAATTCTGGAATCATGGAGGCCATTGACAAACGTCGGAGGATGCTTGGCATTCCAACAGTTGACAGCATTCAGATGATGTTTCTGCAAGATCTCAATGAAACAGTGCATGTCCTTGTGGCTAGGGCCATGGCAGAGCCTGTGATCCCGCGTGTAGCATGTAGTGCCAACATAGGGATGAATCTGCTGTAAACTGCAATTGAAATCTCCAGCTATGAGCAAAGTGTTACGATTAGGAATCATGGATATGGTTTGATCCAAAAGTCCCCAAAAGGCTTTACGCTGTTGTAGTCGATGAGTGCTGTGATCATCTGAATGCTGGTAGCAGCCCAGGATGTCCACTGATCTTTTGGTTTGATGAATGCGAAGATGTCCGATACGTCCTGGCAGTACACTGGCAAATCCTATGGCATCAGGTGGACAGACCGAGGTTTGAATGAGAAATAGCAGTCCATTTGCACGGTCATCAGCTGTTCCAGTATGGACATGGTGCCAGTGCTGATCTGACCACTCAGCTTCAAAGGACCACCGTGTTTCTTGAACTACCAAAACATCTATCTCGGCCGCTTGAGCCCATTGTTTCACTTCTAGAAGGCGTTGTTGGGATAAGCCGCCAACGTTGACCTGGCCAACTTGCAAACGATGCCTTGGTGCAAAATGCTTCGTGTACCTGACAGGTTGTATCTTTGGTCTGCGGTCAGGCTTTTGTGGATGCATTGATGGAAATTGATCAACGGTGAAACACTTGCCACGATACCAGGCGCAGCCAGTCATCTGAGCTCTTCGAATGGCCCTACGGAGACTTCGTTTCTGTACATGGGAAAAAGCTGCAGCATGCAAATGGCATTCTCGGTGGCCGTAGCCGCTTCGCAGTGTCTGGTCATGGCTGTTTGCTGGAAAAAGGTTAGTCCAGGCAGTGATATCATTATCAGCTTCAGCTCCGGTCCATGACATACCGGAGCAACCCTCACCCCCAGCCTGCGAACTCAGGGATATCAGCGGCAGCATGAAAAGGAAAAACAGTCTGAAACAGCGCTTGGATTTCCAGTCGAATGCGTTCTTGGCAGGCTGCCCGGACTTGGGACCGGGTTTGCAGGTTGATGGCTGTGCCCAAGCTGTGCGGCTGTGGGACTTGCAGTTCAGGGTTAGTGATAAGGAGAAGAGTAGTCTTATGGGGGAGAAAATTATCACAATGAAATTGAGCAACAATGCAATTAAATGATTACTAAGGGACCAGTCGGGATTATGGGTAAGGGTTGCAGCGCTTTGGCAATTTGCAACAGGCCGTGGCTGATTAGATCGGATCAATAATTTTGTTTTTCTGGCGGCTGCCAATGCTTGATGTGGGTTGCTAAACTGGGTGGACGGCTCCACTTGTGCACAAGCACAAAACACTGTAGACGCCAGGGCAGAAGGTCCCCACCAGCAAAGGTAGTTGGCACAGGCTTGGACCTTGTGGCCAGTCAGAAATATTGTCAGCCAAGGTTGTATTGATGAAAAAATCTGTCGTGTACCCAATATCCAGGCCAGCCAGAATAAGGGAGCCCACCCCGTCAGTGTCCAAATTTCCTCAGTGGTTGGGTGTACCCGCAAGTCTGTGAATGTGAGCCAAAAGACAACTCTGACTGTCGTGTTAATAACCTGTAGCCCGTGCAGAAAAAATGCTTGGACCTGCACTGTGAAGGCCTGCCAACAGCAGGAAACACAACCACCTGCTGAGTCAAATGAATTGTTGGGACGGTCAGAATGGGTGCCCAGCCCTGCAATTGACAATTGTTGTGAAACCGTCTGAATGTTGTGGCAAGATCCACTGTCGGAGAGATTGCAAATCTGTTGAAGTAGTGCCAGAAACGTTCCTACCAAAACAAAAAGGGCCAGCCAGCAATAGGGAGCCCACCCCCAATCGTTGTATTTCCTGTGAATCAGGTGCAATTCAGAGGGGATCTGGATGTAATCGCTTGCAATGTGCAGTCCAAATGGGAGAGATGTCCCAAAAACTCTGAATTCACGTCTCAAGCCTGTACAGGCGGAATCTGTCCAACTTGTATTGATGAAATCCGGTGAAAAACGAAGTGCACAATAATGATGTTGATAGGCCAGACAGCAAACGGGAGCCCACCCCGATAAAAAATATTGTCGTTCAAGTGTTTGGTCCAGTGGTTCAGCTGGAAAATGTTGATGATCCCACCACCAGGTTGTCAGAATGTGGGGGGCCCACCCCCAAAAAAAGGCCAGAATCAATAAGCACCAGTAGTGAGGCGTGATGCCTCTGTTGCAGCCACCACAGATGGCCGTGTCTGTGAACGTTGACCAAAAGCACAATGACACTCCAAATGTGAAATGAAAATCCAGTGCGACAGCGCAGCAGCAAGAGTTATGGCTCAGTTGAAAAACGGCTAAACAATTCGGACCCCGCAAAAGAAACTACCCTGTGACTCCTCGTCACCTGCGCGCAGCTCTCGAGGCTGCAAAGGGGCTTGTGTCATCCTTGCGCAGGGGCCATGCTAATCTTCTCTGTATCGTTCCAATTTTATCGGATGATCCCCGAAGGGAATCCGTGTGTGTGTGTGTGTATGTGTGTGTGTGTGTGTGTGTGTGTGTGTGTGTGTGTGTGTGTGTGTGTGTGTGTGTGTGTGTGTGTGTGTGTGTGTGTGTTTGTTTGTGTGTGTGTGTGTGTTTTTGTGTGTGTGTGTTTTTGTGTGTGTGTGTTTGTGTGTGTGTGTGTTTTTTTATACAACCCCTACAACCCTGAGTACGGATCGGCAGGCGAGCTCGCGCATGGAAGGTTATCATCCATGGCCCTCCCAGGTGTCAGATTTTGACGTCCGCTGACACCTGTGGAGGGGCTTTCCCAAACCAACGCTCCTAAGAGCTACGAAGAAATTCACAAAAAAGCCTCATGCCATGTAGAGCAACAGGTGGTTGTTAGTTGCAAAACACAGGCAAAAAAATGAGGACCAAATGCAACAGGTGAAAAACTAATGAAACTTCGGAGAAAATGAAAACTCTCAGCAGCACTGCACAGCTGCAACGCAGGCTCAGCAGCAGGGCCGCATTGCCGAAGAAAGCGCTCAGCAGCTTCAGCGCAGGCACAGCAGCAATCGCCAGTAGCGCCAGCGCAAAGGCAGTAAAGGATCCGCGCATTGCCAGCAGCCGCATTAATTGCATTCAAGTTGCGAAGGGCCAGTGAGATGTCATGCTCCAAAACGTCGCCCCAGGCCAGTGACCAATGAAAGAATAAATCAAAACTCATCCAAAGAGCCAATGATGAAGACCAGTGATGGAAAAATATCAAAATTGACATCCCAGAGTGGCAGCAGCTGATCAAGTGAGTCCCATATTGTCCTCTGCTCCATCCTCAATGCCACGGGCAATCGTCTGAAAGCACCGGAATAGGCGAGGATCTTCTGAGTCCAAAGTCCTGGCAGTGATGAGATTTGGTCTGACCAACCAGAACAATACACTGTTTCTGAGCACGGATTCAGGGAGTGTCACTACCTGATCAGGCGGTCTCCCATCTTCATAGATCATCCATCTTTGTTGATATTTCAATGCAGTCCGATAGTGACCGGCATGTGGAGATGCTCCAATGTGAAATGTGATGGCGCAAACGTCAAAAACATCAAAAGTCACATCACCCTCCAAATTGCAGAAACATGGAAATCGGATGGAAGTGTCCACAGCAATCAGTTGTTGACATTTGGCTTCGGTTTCTGGGTTGAAACGGTCCAGTTGTAGGATAAGTTGGAACCCCACCTCCTCAGCTGCTCTGAAAAGACCTCGTGAGTCATGCCATGTGTCAACTAATGATTGAAGTTGTGTCAAATCTGCATTGCAATCAATGTAGTCAAGCTTGATCGGAGTGAATCGCGTTCCTTTTTCAGAGGGCAGCAGGTCTTCCCCAGTGGCCAGTCTTCCCGGCTTTGTAACCCAGCTGCAGTGGAGAAATTGAGGTTGCATGACATGTAATAAGTATGTTGCAAACTCGCACACATCATGTTGATTTCTGAATGACTCCACTGACCACTCCCCAAGTAGCAACCACACAAAAGGACCAAATTTGGTGAGATCCATTGGCATGTGGTTGTAAAGGAAAACATTGCGAAGCAACTCGTATCCATGGACCCACTGTGAGGGATCGTTGCCATTGGCAAGCAAAGTCATCCAAGCAAGGCTGATCACCACCACGTTTGCAAAGCAAGCAGTGCCTGTGCTGTTCAGGAAGATCGGGATGCAAGTCACATGATCTTCTGAAGTTGCTTGGCCAGTGGAGTGCGCTCCAAGGGCTGTGGCCGGAGGCGCACCTGCACTAGCTGCCAAGAACTGTGAAAGGCCAGTCGGGCCACTTCGTGCCAAAGCTCTGGAGTGTTCCTGAGCGCCACCGTCCAAATCCATGGGAGAGCCTGTTGTGATTCCTTCCCCTCCATCGGCTTCTTCAAACTGTGGAAGCGGAGAGTCACCCTGTTGTCGGCCTCCAAGAGCCTCAGGATGTTCTGAAGGCTGCGATGCACTTCTGAGATCGGCAAGCCCTGCTGCTCGGTCGGTTCCAGGACTTTCTTGTGGTGGTTCCAACGTAGGAACGGCATCGTCCGGTCCTTGTCGTCCCGAATCAGGTGATAGGACTTGCAGTCCTGGAACAACTCCTCCGTTGGAGTGGCAGCCATCAATTTCTGGAGCCGATTGTGTAACTCCTGCACCAGGGTCTTGGCCAAAAGGTGGCGCAGCGGGATGGGCTTCTCCGTCTGCTGGTGCCAGGCACGGCTGACCTGCATCATCAAAGGAAGGATACTTCCTTGGCCTGGTGCCAAGTGCAGCAGAAACTGACTCTCCTGTAGGAGACTCTGAAGCGTGTCCTCGTGTCGTAGGACCAGTCTGCAAAGTGTGCCCAGTACCTCCGTCGGCACTTTGGTTGTGGAGCCAGAGCTGGATCTTTCCTTTCGATCCGTTCGCGGCCGTTTGCCGTCTCGCTGAGCTGGGGGCGCAATGCCCAAGTTTTCCATCTGTTCCTTTGTCAACAAATTGCCCCAAATCTTTGTAGCCGTATCGATGCCTTCCGAGGCCTCTGATGCCGCGTCCATTGAGAAGGAACACAGCCAAATTGAGAAGGGCCGGGCACTGCTCAGCGTGCTGT